AGGTTTCATTAAGTAATTTTATTATGACATATCCTAGAGTTACCTTGATTCTTACAATGTAAGAGTTATGTATATTCACCGTATCTGAATTGTAAGGCCAGTCTGAGTTCATTTTGGGAGACGAGTGAAGTGAATCCCTAAAGGAACCCTTCACATGCATTAAGATAGAAAATCCTAAGAGATTACATTCATGTTTGCTTTCTAAATTATTTGAAAAGCTCAATTTTATTAAGAATAATCTACCTAGCCTTGGTTTAGATGTGAATGTATGTATTATTTATGTTGATTTTTCATATTTTTCTACTTTGGTTTAGATGTGAATGTATATATTATATTGATTTTTATAAAAACATTTTCCATACATGTGCCAATATGTCCTACTTAATATTGGTTACTATGATAACATATAATATCATAGTATTACTTTCCTAAATGCTTTACTGAGGTCATCTAATAGTAGCATATATTGATAGGAATAATAATTTTAAATTTTATTGGATTCAAAAATAGGAGCTACTTAGGAGTAGGACCAACTTTTACTAAGAAAATAGACCATCAACTGTAATTGTAAATGGCAATAATTTAAAGTTATATCGGATTCTGAGCCCTAAAAAGTATTATTGTTATTTTAATTGAGTTAGGAAATAGTTTATTTTCAAGAATCTATGTTTAAGAATCTTGAAGGGTTGCAGTCATATAAATGCACAATTTCAGTTCCTTTTAGCCTAAAGCATCATTTTTAACATTTTCTAAAAGGTTGTTCAATTGTACATTTTGATTCCATTATATGTGTAATTAAACCTGCATGCACAAAATCATTTTCTTATGTTCTAGCAAATATACCCACAGGAATCCTCTTCTAAACTATAATTTATTTAAACATGTAATCATAGGATTTTTAAAAACATGCTTTTATTTTTCCAGACTGCATGCCAATTTGAACTGCTTGGTGATAAAATGAAAGATTTTATTACCATTTTGACCCCCCTCCCCCTGACCTAAAAGCGAGTTAAACATGAGCAGGAGGAAATAAAGAAAATCTATTGTGAACCTAACTCCATGTGTTAAACTCTTTCCCTTTCCCAGACAAATGGAAGAGAATCACAGATTTGTAAATATTTATGAATTCCAGCACAATATGAATACTGGGGCCTGCAGCATGCTCTCCTCCGGATTGGCCTAAGTAATAATGGCTTTCTCCTCTCTCTCTCTCTCTCTCTCTCTCTCTCTCTCTCTCTCTCTCTCTCTCTCTCTCTCTCTCTCTGTGTGTGTGTGTGTGTGTGTGTGTGTGTGTGTGTGTGTGTGTGTGTGTGTGTTTTATCCTCCTGAACGTTGTGGAGTCTGGCCCCCTACCGACAGAATCAGTCAATTACAGTCGTGGGCGGTCCTACTGACATTTCCACCAGAACCTGGTGGGGACACAGCCATTTAGAGTTTTGAGCATAGTCCTCCTTTACAATTTCTGATCCTTTCCACCCCAGCACTTCCGACCCCTACCGAAAAGGCCCGCTCTGGGAGTAGCTTAGCCAATAATTAAGTTGGGTATTTCAGTCTTGCATATGGTGTGTCTCAAAAGTAAAGCTTCCCAGGAACCAGTTCTCTTCCCAGAGAACTCAGATGGATTGTAGTAAGAAGGAAATAAGCCCACCTTTTCTCGCATTTTAATGTTACATCTAATTACTCCATTCCAATTCATTTAATAATTATTATAGTAAGCTGCTGTGAAAACTCTCTCTCCCTCTTGGGTGCGTTAAGACTTGGGCAAAGTCTATGTTATCAAGAAGCCACACTCCACAGGTTGCTGGTATAGAGTAGCGAATCACAGTATGTGTTCCTTGGAGCTCACTTTAAGAACTCCAGAACATTCTCCCACTCTCTGGGAGAAAATCCTCACGCTGTCCCCAGACTTAACCCAGGGCTATGAGAGTGTTATCATCTATTTATTGATATTTTTTTAAACCGCAGAAGGGGTGGAGGAGCCTGCGGAGGAACTAGCTCTACTTAGATATGCCTATTTGTGTGTTGCAGGGTAATAGTCCTCCAGCCCCCGCTTTCCTAGGAATATATTAAAAAATAATAACTGCCACCCTGGCGAGGCCTGCTGAGTTTCCGTCTGCCTGACAGCGGCGGGGGAGCCTGGCCCTGCGCCGCCCGGCGGGCTCCCGGGCGCCCCGCTCCGGCGGAAGGGGAGGCCGCCCGGGAGGGCGCCGCCAGCGGAGCTGCTATTTTGGGCGCCGCGGCCGGTGCGTCAATGCCCGCGGCCTGCGTCACCGCCACCTCCACCCCTTTCCTCCGCCGGCTCCGACTCTCACTTTTTCCCTTTCGTTCGCGGGACTCGGCTCTGCCCACGGGGCTCTGACGCTGCCGAACTCATGCTCATCAGCTCGCCTTCGCCCTCCCCTCCGACCCCCCTGCTCACACGCCTTCCCTCGCCACTACGCCCTCCCCCAAATACTCACACACACACACACACACACACACACACTCACACACACTCACACACAGACACACACAGACACATACACACACACTCACACACACACTCACACATATACACACACAGACACATACACACACTCACATACACACACACTCATACTCTCACACACACACTCACATACATACACACACTCAGACACATACACACACATACACACACTCACACACTCCACTCTCACACACACACTCACATACACACACTCAGACACATACACACACTCAGACACACACACTCATACACACACACACTCACTCACACTCTCACACACATACACACACTCACACACACACACTCATACTCTCACACACACACTCACATACATACACACACTCAGACACACACACACACACACTCTCTCACACACACACTCACACACACATACACACATTCAGACACATACTCACATACACACACTCACACACACACTCACACACACACATACACACACTCAGACACATACACACACATACACGCACACACACGCACTCACATACTCAAACACACGCAGACTCACACACACACATGCACACACACTCACATGCACACACACTCACATGCACACACACACACTCACGTGCACACACTTCCTGGTTTAATTTCCCCCCTCGCGCCTGCACGGGCAGCGCTGAGCAGCAGCTGCGGCAGAGCAGCGGGCAGTGGCCACATCGGGACCTGAAGGAGGTCACGCAGGCTTCTCCAGGCTGCAGCGCCCAGAGCTGCGGCTGGCTTCCCCTCTCCTGCCTCCGGGGAGCGGGAGGCGGCGGGTGCAGATCGGAGCTGGGTGGCTCCGCCGCGCTCGGGGCCAGCCCCGGGGACACCGGGATGTGGGGGGACACGAGGGGGGCGGGGAGCTGTCACGGGGTCCCCACGGCTGGAAGCGAGCCCCGGGGAGAGCGGAGAGGCGGCTGGAACCCCGCGGGCAGAAGGAAGAGCCCCCCCCACCCCCCCGCATCCCTCCTCTCCCGTGGTCCCAGCCGACCGAGAAGCCCCTCCACCCCCCTTACCCCCTCAGGCCGGCCCAGCTCAGGCCCAGGGCCCGGCACGGGGTGGGGAGGAGCGGCGTTCCCTTTGCTGAAAGCGCCAGGCCCCAGCCGCGCGGGGAGGGGGGCGGAAACACGGACTTGCCGAGCGGAGTTGGCGGGACCCGGAGGGCTGCGGGAGGCGGCTGGCTCCCCTCGGAGCCCACACTTCGGGGAGGGCGAGACGCGATGCCTAGCGGAGCGACCCTGCCCCCTCCTCCCTGGGTTCTGTCTTCCCTTCTCGGCTCTCTCGTGGAGGCGGCCAGAGCCCCGTGCTTCCAGGAGGGTCCATTCATTTACCTACAACTCGTGGGAGGGCAGGCGGTGGTGGGCACGGAGGAGGGTCGAGAGTGCCCGAGTCCGCGTCTGGAGTGATGAGAGCATCTCTCTGCCCAAGGCGCACCTGTTGCCCTCTGCCCGGCCGCATTGTCTGCGAAAGGAAAAGTGAACGGCGCCTCACTCTGGCTTTTGGGGTCCCCGAAGGGCTGGGTCCCTGCCTCCCTCCTCCTTTACCCTCCCCTCCCCTCCCCATCCCACGCTCCACGTCCTCCCTTTGCACTTGGACACTGCAAGGAAAGAAGGGAACACACATGAGCCCCTTCCACCTTGGACTCTGTGTGTGTGGGGGGGGAGGGAGGAATGGGGGGGGGGGGAGAGAATATGAATATTCCAGAGGAGGAGGCGGCGGCCAGGGCCAGGGCCAGGGAGAAGGGGGGTGCCCTGGGCTGGGGAAATCCCACCCCCATGGCCCGAGCCCTCGGAGCGTGCCCTGCCTGTCCCGGGACATCTGCTCGCGCCTCCGCTGGTGGAGATGACGCTTTCGGGCCAGTGAGGTTAGAGCGCTGCCAGGCACCCCCTTCCCTGCGGGTCCGGGTGCCCACCCCAGGGGTCCCCTCCGCCCCGCCTTTGGTTTCACCTTCCCTCCCGTGTGAGCGGCCGGGCGGCCTCGGTGGCGGGGGTTTTGGGGGTTTGGGGGTGCGGGGGGGGGGTGAGATGTCGCTGCTCTGCGGGCTGAGCAGCCCAGAGTGGAGAGGTCACACCTTCTCGGAAAAAAAAAAATCGCGCACACACCCCCCCAAAAAAAACCCACCACGCCGGTCACCGAGGTGAGCCCAGAACGGTTCCCACCTTAAAGCCGGCCCCGCTCGTGACGTCAGGTCGGAAACATACCAAAGCGAGCGGCGGCCAGCGCGGGGCGCGGCGGCCATTGGGCGGCGGGCTGTGACGCGCGCTGACGCGGGGCTGTAGGTGCGCGGGGCCGGCGGCGGCCACATAAACAAAGGCACATTGGCCGCCGCGCCAGTCCGCCGCCGTCCGCCCGGCGCCCGCCGCCCGCTCCGCTCCCGCCGCTCCCGGCGCCCGGCTCCCCGCGCCCCTCCCGACCCGCTCCCGGACCCCGCTTCCCGACCCGCTCCCGGACCCCAGCGGAACCGCACTCCGGCGGACTTGAATGAATGAAGAGAGGCGCGGAGAACTCCTAAATGAGTAGGTGCCATGCGTGCAGCTCGCGATCCTTCTTTTTTCTTTTTTTCTTTTAATGTTTTAAGTCCTTTTCTTCTTCTTTTGCACGTCTCTTCCTCCTCCCTCTCCGGGATAGGTGCTGTGGAAGTGCGAGCCGGGGGCGCGGGGCGCGAGTGGGGCGGGAGGATGGGGAGTGGGTGCGCGCGGCCACAGAGGGCATTGGTCCCCGCACCAGCCTGGGCACCGGCGGGGAGCTGGCTCCCCAGAGAGGCTTCCAGGCTCCTCGTGGGTGGACTCGAAGGGAGACTTGCATAGTCCGGGGAGCCGTGGACTTGTCCGCGGGAATAAATGTGCTTGAAGTTTGCTCTTAGTGCGAAATGGATTGTAGCCTTTGGACACGGAGAGACGCCAAGTCCGGTGTCTACGAGGGGGACGGTCCGGACGCTACCCACAAAGTGACAGCGAGGGAGAGAGTGCTTCAGTGTGTGTGTGTTGCTTGGGAACTGTGTCACCGCGGCTGGCCAGGGTGCCCGTGTTTCCTGGGTATTGTTGAGTAAGGAGAGGGGTGGGGAAGAGTGTCCTGTTACTAATTGGTGTGAAATCTCTGGCTTGATGTGCGTCGCGCTTGTGTCTGTGGGGGAGAATATGGAAAGAGTACAGTTAGGAAGCTTGGAAGTAACTAGGCGAGTAACATCCAGCCCAGGCGTATTTCTCAGGGGCTGTGGGGGGTCAAGAGTCTAATTCTTTCCACTTTTTTCTGGTTAGCCTCCCTCCCCCAGGAAGCAAGATTATGAAAGTGGGGGGGGGGGGCAAGGGCAACAGAAGGTGTAGATGTTTGGCTTTCTTTTTCATTTTTTAATAAGATCATCTATGCTGTAGAATGCCTTCCAAGTAGAAATATCTGAAAATTACCAGGATACAAGAATGTGCCTCGTTCCAGCAAGTAGGCAGACCATGGCAGGCTGGTAGGAAAGGATTCCGTTTGCTGTGTAGGAAAAAGCCCTTCCAGCTCGGTGCCAACACCATTCGGCAACATTGCCCTCCCCCTGTCACTGACACCAAAGCTGCTGCTGCAAAAGCAGGGTCTGCTCTTCCCACCCCTTGGCCAATAAAGATGTTGAAAGATAAGTTTCGTGGACAACTACCTGCCGGTTCACCTGTTTCCCCAATCTCAGTGCTCTGTCAAAAGCACATTCAGATGATCGTCAGGCTGCCCAGGCCTTGCTAGCTAAGGTTTTGTAACTTATAGGGGTGGAGGAAGAGGTTTTCTTATTTTATACTCTTGACCTCTACTTCCTTCCCCAATCCCCAAAGAAAAAGCCAGTTTCACCGTAGGGAAAAAAAATCAGAGAAGGTTCCAATGCTGTATTTGATTCAACTCTAGTTTCCTCTTTTCGGGTTAGAATTAACCTGAAATGGGAAATGACATCCTCCACCCCCATACACCCTGCCAAAGGGGCTAATTTGTTTCCTCTTAAGAATGAAATAAGTCCATGGAACGCCTTTGATTCCTCAGAACCCTCTCTCCGCAAGGATTTGCAGGGTGCTATGGGTGGCGTTTTCTGTTGTTTCCAGCCATCCCTTTCACACCTGCGTTTTAACAGCCAGGTTGCCAAGGACAGAATCACGGAAGGCGTAAGAGGGCTGCCTGGTGAGAGTCTGCAGATGCCAGAGGGAAAGGCACCCTGAAGCTCTCTGTGTCTGTATTTCAGGGAGGAGATCTGACAGGCTGGGCTCTCCAATGCTTTTCTAAACATCTCGGAAACTTTACCCTTCATTGCTTTACGACACTGTCCACCTTTCAGTTCCTTGAAAACGCCTGTAACTCGGCTGAAGGTTAGTGCAACTTGATTTCTTTCTCTCCCCCGCCCCCCTCCCGCCCCCCTAACCACCCCCCCAATTCCCTAAAATATCAAGACCAAGGGCAATGCGATCTTCCTCAGCAAAGCCTGTAACTTAAGGTTGTCTAACCCGTCGCCCTCGGGAACAACTTTCTCATTGTGCACAGTTCAACTTCATCTCTGGGATGGGCTTGCTGAATCCGAGCTAACGGAGGGAGAGGCTCATCTGAGCTGGGTTGCCCATGAAAGGGGGTTGAGGGGGGGCGTTTGAAAAGAGCCGGGGAGACCCTCCGTGGTTTTCTAGCTCTGGGTCTGCATCTGATCAGCCTTTTCCCCCGAGTCCTTGCGGCTCAGCCCCGCCGCCTCCGCCGGCTCCGCCCTGCCCCGCGCCCCACCGCGCTCCGCCGGCCGCGGGCTGGGGCTGCCGGTGCAGCTCCAGGTGCCCCCCGAGCCCGGGAGGAAGTGTCCGGTCGACCAGGCTGAGTGTATATTATCACCCTGTTTCATTTCCAGCCATGCCTTGTGTTCAGGCGCAGTATGGGTCCTCGCCTCAAGGAGCCAGCCCCGCTTCTCAGAGCTACGGTTACCACTCTTCGGGAGAATACAGCTCCGATTTCTTAACTCCAGAGTTTGTCAAGTTTAGCATGGACCTCACCAACACTGAAATCACTGCCACCACTTCTCTCCCCAGCTTCAGTACCTTTATGGACAACTACAGCACAGGCTACGACGTCAAGCCGCCTTGCTTGTACCAAATGCCCCTGTCCGGACAGCAGGCTTCCATTAAGGTAGAAGACATTCCGATGCACAACTACCAGCAGCACAGCCACCTGCCCCCCCAGGCCGAGGAGATGATGCCGCACTCCGGGTCGGTTTACTACAAGCCCTCCTCGCCCCCGACGTCCTCCACGCCGGGCTTCCAGGTGCAGCACGGCCCCGTGTGGGACGACCCGGGCTCCCTGCACAACTTCCACCAGAACTACGTGGCCACCACGCACATGATCGAGCAGAGGAAGGCGCCCGTCTCCCGCCTCTCCCTCTTCTCCTTTAAGCAGTCACCCCCGGGCACCCCGGTGTCCAGCTGCCAGATGCGCTTCGATGGGCCCCTGCACGTCCCCATGAACCCAGAGCCGGCGGCGGGCGGCCACCACGTCGTGGACGGGCAGACCTTCGCGGTGCCCAACCCCATCCGCAAGCCCGCGTCCATGGGCTTCCCGGGCCTGCAGATTGGCCACGCGTCGCAGCTGCTGGACGCGCAGGTGCCCTCGCCGCCTTCGCGGGGCTCCCCCTCCAACGAGGGGCTGTGCGCCGTGTGCGGTGACAACGCGGCCTGCCAGCACTACGGCGTGCGCACCTGCGAGGGCTGCAAGGGGTTCTTCAAGGTGAGCGAGGACGGGGTGCCGGAGGCAGGTAGGGGAGCCCCCCTGCAGCCTGGAGCCTCGGGGGTGCACGCTGGCTGCACCTGGGTGCGGGAGGCTCAGTTCCCACCGCCCGCCCCGTCCGGGAAGGTTCTTTCCCCGGGGTCCGCAGAGGCTGCGGTGGGGGCATCCGGGTGCCTGCGGTGATAAAAGAACGCAGGGAGACCCCGGAGACCCCGAGATCGGGGTCGTATCCCTCACCCCGCACAAAGCCGACCCGGCCGCAGGCCTCCGCCCGGAGTTGCCAGAGCGGGAGTTGGAAGAGGGTCATTTGCATGAGCGCGGAGCTGTCTCTTCTGCTCAGATTGAAATTGGTTAGGACAGAGAGCCGTGTCTGAGCTAACCAAGTGGAACAGAATTCCCTATGGTCAAATTAAGTGATCTCTTTATTTCGCCATCCTGATTGAATAATCTTATCATTTTAAATAGAGAAGGTCTCCAAGGGATGTAAATAATATGAATGCCCACGGATTTGTATTTACTGAGCGTCTCCTTCCCCTTCTCTTGGCATATAAAACACAGCAAGGAGCGGCGAGGTTAGCTCCAATGTTAACGCTATCAATTTTCTTCTGTAACATGCCTGGGGGGGGGGAGGAAAAAGAAAAGAAAGAGGAAGGAAAAGGAAGAAAAAAAAAGAAAGAAAGAAAGCAGTTAGGCATATGTGTTTGTTTGTGGAAAGGGAGTATAGACCCTGGTCTTTCAGGAATTGTTTCTGGATTCCTTGGGTTGCTGGATTTTTAAGAGGAAATTAATTTTCGGCCTCGATTATCTTTTTGTTTTGTTTTGCAGCGCACGGTGCAAAAGAACGCAAAATACGTGTGTTTAGCAAATAAAAACTGCCCCGTGGACAAGCGGCGCAGGAACCGCTGTCAGTACTGCCGGTTTCAGAAGTGCCTGGCGGTTGGGATGGTCAAAGAAGGTAGGTCCCTCTCCGCAGTCTGTGCCCTCGGGGAACCAAGGCCCCTACTCCAACCCCACTTTCCACGGACAGAGCCAGGGGTGCCCCGGTCCCCCCACCCGCGTCCAGCCTCCACCAACTGGCAGCTGCCTGCTTGCCCATCCGTCCTGCCCCAGAGAAAGCCGACTGGCTCTTCTCGTGTCTTTTAACTATACGACCCATTTGTAAGAGGACATAAAACAGCCCTTCGTTTTTTTATGCTTCTCCTCAGTCAAGGCTTTACAAGCAGTGGGGCCCAGGGCCGCCCAGCCGCACTCCCCCCAGCTGCAGCCATCCCCCCCGGAGGGGCCAAGGAGGCAGCTGGGTCCCATGAGGCCCAGCGACACTAACCGGGGCTCTCTTTGCAGTGGTTCGCACCGACAGTTTAAAAGGCCGGAGAGGTCGTTTACCTTCCAAACCGAAGAGCCCACAGGAGCCCTCTCCCCCCTCGCCCCCGGTGAGTCTGATCAGTGCCCTCGTCAGGGCCCATGTCGACTCCAACCCGGCTATGACCAGCCTGGACTATTCCAGGGTAAGAAGCTGGAGGGGGGTATCATGTGGACCAACCCGACAGATGGGCAGGAACCCTTCCCCACTCCCATCAGGACCCCCCCCTCCCCCAAACTCAGGATAAAAGGAGGCAAGCAAAACTGTGTTCTCACAGCGCTGGGGAGAGCCACAGGAGGCGGGCAGCCCCACAGACAAGTGTGGACGGGTGGACAGTGCAGCGGAAGGAAGAAGTGTGAGGCCAGAGTGGTCAAACTTCTTTGAGCCCCTTTCCCACCACCACATATGCAATCGCTAATACCTCCGATGTCCACCCCGGAGGCTACTGAAAAGCCCCCACTTGGATGTATTCCTAACCTTCCACAGAGATGCTTTAATCCTCACCCTCTCTGGCACTGTTGGGGGGGAGGGCTGCCCGCGTGGGGGTTGGGGAAGGGAAAGAGAGTGTGTCCGAGGGATGGCAGTGGGGTGGGGAATCAAGTGGTCAGAGTCTTCTTTTACCCCCGCTGTGAGGAATGTGAGGGCTTTCATTGGAGGAAGTGTGTCGGGCAAACTTAGAAGTCACAGTCACTGCAATTTTATTAAGATTTGCAAAGGGCGTCTCTGCTCGAGACCCACTCTGGGACTGGCATGAATACTAACATGTCAATTGTTTTGTGGAGATAAGAGTGAACGTTTCCCAGGGCTGGATGGCACTGTATTGAGTCTGTATGGAAATGGCAATTTACATATTTAAAGCAGCGACCTCATAGCACCATCCCTAATTGAATTAATTGCCCCGGAACATCTAATTTCCTTACTGGTCAGAGAGAGGTTTAATTGTTATAAAAACCTGGCTCCACTAGTAGAAACGGGGTTAGCAATTTCACGGGTTATATATTTTAGAGAACCTCATTAAGTGCTTTTTAAAATGAAATTCCAGTTCCAGGCGAACCCTGACTATCAGATGAGTGGAGATGACACCCAGCATATCCAACAATTCTATGATCTCCTGACTGGCTCCATGGAGATCATCAGGGGCTGGGCTGAGAAGATCCCGGGCTTTGCTGACCTGCCCAAAGCCGACCAGGACCTGCTTTTTGAATCGGCTTTCTTAGAGCTCTTTGTGCTGCGATTAGCATACAGGTAACTGAGGAAGCAATCGGAGAGGTTGGGAAAGAAGGAAGAGAGCAATCAAGACAAGACAAGAAAGAGGAAAGAGGAAATAAAGGGAAGGAAAGAGAAGTGGTCAGAATAGGAAATGAAAGAGGGGGGAAAAGAGGGATGGGATCATAGAAAAAGGTAGAGAAGGGAAGGAGTGAGCCCAGAAGTCTTGGATGAATGTCACGGAGGTGGGATAGGGGGCGTTCTTGATTGTTATGAAATTGAACCCTTTCAAGGTCCACTGGTCTACGTTTTATTAACTCTTCGGTAATTAGGTGCCTCTTAAATCCCTCATTTATTGCTCTTCAAGTAATTAGTTGTTTAGCTTTTCTCTCTTTTTCTACCCTCTCTCTCTTTGGTATTAATTGCAGGTCCAACCCAGTGGAGGGTAAACTCATCTTTTGCAATGGGGTGGTCTTGCACAGGTTGCAATGCGTTCGTGGCTTTGGGGAATGGATTGATTCCATTGTTGAATTCTCCTCCAACTTGCAGAACATGAACATCGACATTTCTGCCTTCTCCTGCATTGCTGCCCTGGCTATGGTCACAGGTCAGTACCATAGGCGCAAGGCTCTTCTCCAGCATTGTCCAGCAGGATCTGGCCCAGTTTCCCTTTGCCTCCCACCTCCCCTGCTTTTGCCTGCCCGCTAGCTAACTGCTTTTTGCATTCTTCTTTTGTTTCGGATTGTGTTTTCTGCAGAGAGACATGGGCTCAAGGAACCCAAGAGAGTGGAAGAACTACAAAACAAGATTGTCAATTGTCTCAAAGACCACGTGACTTTCAATAACGGGGGTTTGAACCGCCCCAACTATTTGTCCAAACTGTTGGGGAAGCTCCCAGAACTCCGTACTCTTTGCACACAGGGTCTACAGCGCATTTTCTACCTGAAACTGGAAGACTTGGTACCACCGCCAGCAATAATTGACAAACTCTTTCTGGATACTTTACCTTTCTAGACCTCCTCCCATGCACTTCAAAGGAACTGGAAAGAAAACTTAAAAACTGTCCAGAGGGGGCAAGTCACAAGGGCAGAGATAACCCCTTGAGCTGTCTCAGCTCTAGCCACCCCACCCCCTTCCATAATCCCCCAGCCCCTTAATCCTTAAAGGAAAACAAAAAACAGAAAACAAAAACTGTTGCTATTTCCTAACCTGCAGGCAGAACCTGAGAGGGCATTTTGGCGCTGGGCATCCTGGATTTAGAACATGGACTACACACAGTACAGTGGTATAAACTTTTTATTATCAAGTTTAACAATCAGTTAAATGTTCAGGAGAAAGATTCCTAATGTATGATGGGAAACGTTTGGCCGCATTTGGTGGTTGCTGTTAAGAGAAATGTTATACACACACACACACACACACACACACACACACACACACACACATCGTAAGGGGACCCATAAGTATTGCCCTTTAAAAAACTTCAAAGTTTTCTGCTGTAAAGAAAGCTGTAATATATAGTAAAACTAAATGTTGCGTGGGTGGCATGAGTTGAAGAAGGCAAAGGCTTGTAAATTTACCCAATGCAGTTTGGCTTTTTAAATTATTTTGTGCCTATTTATGAATAAATATTGCAAATTCTAAAAGATAAGTGTTGTTTGCAAAAAAAAAAAAAATTATAACTACACAAAAAAGGGACCAGCATGTTGACTCTAGGTTGAAATGTTATAGGCACTTGCTACTTCAGTAATGTCTATATTATATAAATAGTATTTCAGACACTATGTAGTCTGTTAGATTTTATAAAGATTGGTAGTTATCTGAGCTTAAACATTTTCTCAATTGTAAAATAGGTGGGCACAAGTACTACATACCAGAACATCCTGACAAAAGGGACACATAGTGTTTGTAACACCGTCCAACATTCCTTGTTTGTAAGTGTTGTATGTACCGTTGATGTTGATAAAAGAAAGTTTATATCTTGATTATTTTGTTGTCTAAAGCTAAACAAAACTTGCATGCAGCAGCTTTTGACTGTTTCCAGAGTGCTTATAATACACATAACTCCCTGGAAATTACTGAGCACTTTGAATTTTTTTGTTTTTTTAATGTCTAAAATTGTCAGTTAATATATTATTTTATGTTTGAGTAAGAATTTTAATATTGCCATATTCTGTAGTATTTTTCTTTGTATATTTCCAGTATGGCACATGATATGAGTCACTGCCTTTTTTTTTTTTTTTTTTTTTCCTATGGTGTATTACAGTTAGAGACACTGATTTGTTTTTTTCTGATAAATTCTTTCTTTGAGAAAGACAATTTTAATGTTTACAACAATAAACTATGTAAATGAACAGAACTCGATCTTCTTTCTGGGTGAGGGAAAAAATGGCAATATACAATAGATAGAGTTGGAGTTTGGTTTGGGCTAGGTCTCTTTTTCAACATCTGAGTTTCACACTGACAGACTAGATCTATGCTGGCAAAAGAAACTTGGGGTGGGGGGACTTGAACTAATTTCCAGGGATTTCAGTCCAGTATTTTTCCCTAATCAGAATTTTCCACGGTGGCAACCTACAATTATCAGAAGCAATTGCAACTATCTCCACTCTCCTGTTAAGCTGGCTGATAGGTGCAGCTTTCAGAAGGGACATTCAGGAGACCAAGCAGCTTTTGAACTTTTGCAAGGCCCAAAGTCCTGTCAAGTTTTTGTCTTGCACAATGTTTAGGAAATATCTCATTAAGATCCAAGAAGTCAATATGGATGTGAAGTGTGTTGCACTTAATCTCAGATTTTTCCAATTCTTTAACACTTTTGTAAAGAGTCCGTGGAAGGACCAGGCAGGCATTCGGGGATCCTTTGGGCCTTGGGTCTTTGGTGTAGAGCAGAACTCTGAAGAGACATTTCTTATGACTTTTTGCTTTCTTCCATGGATGGTGATGAGGTTCAATTTGTAGTTTTCTAATAATATTTCACCTTAAAAGTTTCTCAAATAAATTAATAAAATCTGTTTGTCAGTCCTGGGTCTGGTATAGTAAGTTACCCCATAACCTCTAGGATTCCACCCAGCCTCAACTTTTATCAAGAAAGTAACTTAATGCTACAGAAGCCGCTTCAAGTCTGAGCTGCCTCTCAGCCTGGGCCGCTGTGCAGGTGTCCCCTGAGTTTCGCCTAAGGACAGCTGTGACTTCACAGAGAACATGGGGACTCACTTCTTCACTGACCTTGTGAATTCCTGTCCTCTTTCGGGCCACTGAAATCTCCAGTGTGTTATTGTTCTTAAAAAACAGAATGAGAACAGTAACTTACCTTGAAACTCCTCAGTTATTTTTACTTCGCCTCCCCGGCCCTTTAAGAAGACGTGTTATGTGGGTGGGTTAAGGAGAGAAAGCAGGTCTCCTAGTCATTGAGGTTGTTTGTAGGAGAAGCGTTTCTCTGCAGGTACCTGAGGGGCCGAGGGGCAAAAGCGATGAAGTGTAAGCTAAGTGTTCCCTTTCCCGCCTTTGTTGAATAGATGAGGCTTGCCTTTTTTATTGTCACAACTTCTGCCCAACCAAAGCGGTCACTAATAAGCAGAAAGGAGCTCTTTAGAAATGCCGGATGTCTGTAGAGCCGGCTGTCCTCTCCCAGGTGTCTGAGGCGAGACAATAACTTTCCGACTCAGAATCCCGGAGAGTTGAACCCAGAAAGGACCTCTGCTGCCCGTACTCCCTTAAGGAAGTGGCTGTGCATCACCCCAGGCCAAGAAGGGCTGGGTGGTGAGCCTCTCTTCCGAGAATTTTGGGTGAAAGGAGGGAGGGATGGCCCTGTCCCGGTGGCCCCCGCACCGCCTCCGCACGCATTCAATTGTCAAACAGAAGTTGCAGAGCGGCGAGTGCGTTTCTGCTTCACGGTTACTGACTCGCTTTCCAGCTCCAGGCTGCGCATCCGGGGGTGAGGGTTGTGATCCTCGCACGCATCTCCCCTGGATCGGCTGAGATCCGCGCAGCCAAGGACTTTTCCCGTCTCAGTCTTTCCAGGGATAAAACTCAGGAGAAGCAACAGACACGCTGCATTGCAAAAGCGAGCCCTTGCATAAAACTTATTTGGGAAGAGATGAAAACTTTGTGATGGGGTGGGGGGGTGGGTGGGGGTGGGTAGGAGAAGGGCTTCATTTCTCACTCTTCTCCCAACGTCAGTTTTAAGAATGTCAGTTATTGTGTGTACAGTTCCAGCTATGAAAATACATAATCATGGTTCCAAGGACTTGACCATACATCTTTCGGTTCAGAGGGAAGGTCTAATTTTAAATCTTCACGGTGGGTGGCTAGACTCACTAGAAATGTGGTTGCTTAAAAAGCCCTGACTTTATGGAGAGATGCCCTTCATTCAAAGCACAAAGCTGCGCTGCCACCTGCTACTCTCTGGGCTCTGCCACTCTGCGGATGCCCTCGGTGCCCAGGCTGCTCTCGCTCTGGCCTTCCACTTTGAGGTGGGAGCGGGGAGTCTCTGGTCCTGATTCTAACAAGAGAGGGAGGCCTGGTTGGGGGAGCCCATAGCACCCTGCATCCACAGCGGCACCCACGCACCCTGCCGCGTGGAGTTCCTTGTGGTGCCTGACTCCATCCCTAGAGAGTTTGAGTGCCGTCTCCACTCAAAACACCCATCCTGAGGCTCATGGGACACTTGTTCACGGCGTGCCAGGAGCCCCACGAAGGGACAACAGACATTCTTGCCAACTTAAGAATGTCCCTGGAAGGTTCGATTTCACTTCGCCCGGAGAATGCTTTGGGCTTTGCGGGCATCGGTGCGTCAACACGGATATCCAATGATCCAATTATTTAAAACCTAGTCGGCAGCGGTGAATACTTTCGAGGTACAAACAGGTCTGTGAGGGCAGAGTTTTATCTCATTGTCACATGTTAATCACAGAGTTTCCCGCTACAGGATCCATTCCCACCCCACCCGGTCCTGTAGAGGGCGGCGACCCAGAGCGCTGGCAGAGGCCGAGCGCTGCGTGTCTCTGCGCGCCCCCGCCCCATCCCCATCCCGCTCCGCTTCCCTTCTTCTCCGCGGCGCGGCAGCGCGGAGGTGGCTGCGGAGAGTGAGATGGGGAGGGAGGGGGGTCTCGGGGACCCGTCTCTCCTCTCTCAGCCAGAGGAGATGATCTGGAGGTCCTGTGCGCAGCAAGCCACCCCAACAATGAAGGAGGGGGGTTCTATCCTGGCGAGAGGGGGAAGGAGGATACCCAGTCCTGCGGATTTGAAAACTTTTTTTTTCAGGACTATTTTAACAATGGAACAGAGTGATGGATGTCTAAGACATCCTTCTCTGAAAGGATTTTTAAAGCTTTTTTTTTTGGTGGCCCCCAACCTGTCCCGTTATCCAGGAACGGGAATTGTGGCTTACTGGGCGCACCTGGCAATGTCTCTGCAATCCACGCTTCCTGGGCATCATCCCTGGAGCCAGACACTTGCCTCAGGTTTTCAGTTTCATAGAGGACGGATGGGGTTGGGGCTCAGTCTTCCCTTTCTCTCTGTAGCCACTACTAAAAAGCGAACCCGGTCGGTGGGTCGGAAGCGTCTTGGGGGAGAGGATCTGCTGAGCTCCCCGCGTCTGACAGCACTCAGAGCGGAAAGAGCACGTTGCCCATAGCAGCATGTTCCCGGCTTATGTTTCCCAAAGCAGATTTTCCTGGGAGAGCAAGATGTGCATTCCAAACAGGGCCATCGTCTTTTTTTTTTTTTTTTCTTTTAAAGGAATTCGTTCTTAATAATAAAAGAAACACACAACACCCGATTTTCATTTGTCTTTTTTTTTTTTTTTTTTTTTTTTAACGTTTTCTAAAAGCGCTACCTTGGAGGTTACACGAAACCATGTAGGATGGCGAAGCTGTCATTGAAAGCCATTTTCCCTTCGTGTGGTTCCCCAGCGCGTCTGGAAACGACCGCTGGGTCTGCCAGGTCTTTCCTGCGTCCTTGACTTTGTGTTTCCTGAGGGGAAGTCCCGCTTGCGCCGCCGCCACCGAGCGCGC